CTTGGGGGCAGCAGCATGGGCAGTACAGAGTAAAGGTGATAAAGCCATGAGGCAAAACTAGATTGATAAAAATGGGTTCATTTAAGAGATATTTAATGATAGCTAGTAACAGCCGAAGCTCTCAGCCAAGCTTTCATAAATTAATAAGACGTCTCCATGTGGTTATTTGGGAGCTGGCAGGCACGACAGAAAAATCCGCCTACACAGGTGTCTGTGTGAGGATATGTGCATGTGTGGGGTGGATTAAGAAGAGGTCAGAGGTATCAAATCCCCCTGGCACTGGACTTACAAGTTTTGAACCTCCTAATGTGAGTTCTGGGAACCGAACTCTGACCCTCTGCAAGAACAGTATGTTTTTTTTAACTGCTGAGCCACCTCTCCAGCTCCTCTTCATAGAATTTAATCACATCTTTCTGTGAGAACTAGCTAATTTTCAGACACGTTTTGCCCTCAGTGGGGCTTCAGTTTATCACTCTTGGATAACATAGTTATGGGATGAAAAAAACCTGAAGTGTATGAGCAGTGAATAAAGTCAGCCAAAATACAGCTGGCCAAAGTTCCAGCCCATATAAAGAACAATGCAGTTTACAGGTTACTGGCAAGGGATGCTGGTCTTTCTGCTTGCCAACCAAAGGCAGTCATGTGCCAAGTACGAAAATGCAGCTTATAAATTCTCTCAGCAGACCAAATCTAGAATGGATTTTCTTGATTTAGAGAAATCACAATGTTTTAACTTTTTATATAAGGTGTGTTATGAGTTTCATATCTTTATCTCATTTGCACAGTTCCTAGTTATGGCAAGTGGAATCAAACCATAGTCTCTCGCATATATCCTTTGTTTATTCTTTAACAAAATTTCATTACACCTACTTAGTACACATATGCACATGCATGTGTGTGTGGGTGCACATGTCACAGTGTAAGTGGGCAGAGGCAACTTGAGGGGAGTTGGTTCTCTCCTTCCACTATGTGGGTCCTGAGAATTGATGCCCAGTTGTCAAGCTTAGCACCAAGTGCCTTTACACTCTGAGCCTTCTCACCAGCCCTTGATTTACTTCTTGGGTTTTTATCCAGAGAATCCCCCCTTTGTCTTTTTTTTTTTTTTTTTCTGTCAAAATCCTAACTTCTTCTTTCTCTTCCTAAATGGCCTCATCCAGTCTTAGCTTTAAATGCTATCTAGATTAGATGAACCTCACAGATACTATTTCCAGCCTCAGGGAACTTTATATCTCTATGAGAATGATGAACGGGCATCTCAAAACTAATAATGCTCAAACAGAACTTTTTTCTGAGGGTCATATAGTCCAGACTGGCCTCAAACCTACTATGCAGCTGAATTTATGTCCTTTTGCCTCCACCCCGAGTACTAGGATTAAGTTTCTATGGTGCTGGGGGATGAAACCCAGAGTTTTTGCGCATGTCAGTTAAGCACTCTAGAGCTACACCACCAACCTTGAAATCAAATCTTTGTTCTCTATCTTATTATTTACCCAGACAAAAATCTCCATCTTAGCTTTGACTCTGCTCTTGGCTCATATCCCACACTGAACTGCAGACTCCATCTTTCAAAAGCATAATCTGAGCCTGACCACTTAACACCACTCTGTGGTCCAGGACACAACTCTACCCCTTGCCTGACAACTGAGGAAGTCTGTAGGAAGAGGTGCAACAGGCTCAACTTCCTCTGAGCATGCACATTTGTAACTTCCCTAATCAGAAGCCTGCTGAGGAGCCTGGAGACTGATGATGCAATGACATCATATGGCCTGAGCCAATTAATGAAGGAAAGACAACACAGAATTCCAGATGAAACCGCCACCTAGGCCTAGGGAAGGGGCATAAAGGTCTGCCTAACACCTGCAATAAACACAAGTCTGCTCTGCCACTTGCCTCCCAGAGTCTGTGACATTGACTCTATGAACGCCATCTTACCTCCACCTCCAGGGTGTGGTAGCGAGAGGTAAGCGACAAAGGTCTCCCAAAAGTTACCCTATGAGACATCTTGCATTCATTTCTATTATCCATTCAGGATCCAAAAGAATGATTTTAAAGTACAAGAGCACATCAGACTTCTCCAGTGAAACCCAAATCTTTATCATAGCCCATGCAATCTGGTTCCCCCCTACACCATCATCCCATTTCACACCACTCCCTCCCTAAACCACCTGCTGCCCAAGTTCAGCCACACTAGCCACCTTCCTGCTCCTCCACCATGCAAAGTACAGCCTACAACAAAGGCTCTGCCTTTCCCTGGCTGTTCCCTCAGTGAACATCCCACCCCACTCCCCAGATTCCTATGCCATTCAGGTCTCAAAAAAAGAGTCAGTCTTTCTTCCCTTCCCTCCTTCCCTCCTTTTCTCTCCCCAGTTCTCTCACCTGGTCTTATTGTTTTCATGATTACCTGAAATTACATTTTTTACTTGGCTTATCTGTTTGCTCCATTCATAACCATGTACATAGTAAGAACCCATCAGGCTCTAGGATTCCAAGGAGTGGAGATACAGCAGCAAGTGAGATAAGCAGAGATCTTATCTGTCATCCTTGCTCAAGCCTAAGTTCCAGAGAGGAGAAGACACACAGTCCACCTTGTGAACGGTGAATCACCAGTGTCCAGTACAATGCCCTGACGTGGAGTAGGCATAAATACACTATTTGCTGACTAGATAGAATAGCCATCTGCTTCCCTGAAGACTCCACTATAAATTCTTCTTTCTACCTGGTGAGACTCAAGATGGGACCCAGAATGCCCAACACATCACCTAGAGCAGTCTAAAATCACCAGCCCCTGCCCTAAGCAGGATTGTCCCAACTAACTTCCAGCTGTGGCACCCTGCAAGCTCCTCCAGTGGTTGTATCATTAGGATTTATCTTACTAGGTCACAAGAGTACCCGATCCATTGGATGAATGCTGACCAGGCAGCAACATCAAACAGGTCAGATTTCTCTCTACAAAGTGGCCAGAATCAAATGTATGGGTCACACAGCTTCCCTAGCTCCTGTGGTCCTTGTCCTCAGGAGATTACAGGACACTGTCAACATTCCTATTTGAGCACTGAACACAAGGTTGCTCAGGGTGTGTTTTTACTTCTTGTAGCTGCTATGGAGGCAGGATATTTGCCTGCTTCAATGAACAAGTTTCTCCCAAAGAACATTGTGGAGCATGAAACAATTTAATCACCAATAAACATGAAGGTAAATGTGAAATACAATCTATTCACCTTAGAAAAAAAACAAACAACAACCCCCCCCCAAAAAAACAAAACAACAACAACAACAAAAAAAAAACACAGAACTATACAAAGGAAAAATTAGTTGCCTCCAATTGAGTCTCACTGGGTATACAAACCACACTTAAGGGCAGGCCCCATGCCCAGCAGTAGATGACCAATCCAAAGTGAACTCAGTGGTATTTTTGGAATGTTTTTTCTTTTGCTTATATATTATAGTTTTCAACTTTGAGTCTTTATGGATTTCTGTGTGTGTGAGTGTATTTGTCTCTGCATCTGTTTATCTTTCTGGTGCTCTTTCTTTGGCTCTTTTTTGTTGTTGATGTTCCTATTCTGGCTTGATTTTTTTTTGTTGCTGTTGCTTTATCTTACAATTTTTTAGATGCCTGATTGTTTTCTAATGGTGGGGTAAGGTTTTGGGTGGGTGGGGAAGACCTGAAAGAAGTTGGAGGAAGGAAGACTATAATAAGAATATATTGAATGAAAAAAAATATTTTCAATTAAAAAAGGAAAGAAAAGAACATTAAAAAAAGAAAATACAGCCAGGCATGGTAGTGCACATCTTTAATCCCAGTACTCAGGAGTCAGAGGCAGGTAGATCTGTGTGAGTTGAAGGCCAGCCTGATCAAGTTCCAGGACAGCTAGGGCTGTTACACAGAAAAACCTGACTCAAAAAACCAAAAAAGGAAAGAAAATAGATAACAAAAATAAAAGAGAGCTAGAGTGGTCAGTAACAAATTTAGAAAGAAAAGAAAATACAAACATCTTAAAGAACCACCCTACAGGTCTCAGAGAACAAGTTTTTAGAACCCACATTACCAGCCTGTACACAGGTGAGGGTAATGTCTAGTTATCTCATTTTCATGTGCTAGTTAACTCAGATGCAACAGACTTTAGAGCCCTGTGGGTTTAGCAGGTGAAGATAGACATGAGCGTCAATGTAAAGGCAGGAAGGCCCCCATCCAGCCCTGGGCTGCAGTGATCTGGGTATAGCAGCTATTTCTTACAACATCTGGGTAGCTTGAAAAAGATACTTAAAGGAATAAAGTGTGTGCAAGAGAAGGGAGCTGCAAGGCATCTCAAAACCCCAGCATATTACAGTGTAACTGCCTACCACCTCACTTTCTTTGAAGTATTTCCACAAAAAAAAATTATCTCCTTCAGTCTTCAAAGCAAGCAGCCTGAAGTGTAAACAAAACAGGATAAACTTTGCTATCTGGAACCCCAGAAATCATACAGTGATTTTGGATCCTACTGTAAAAATGGCAGAACCGAGTTATGCCTAAACTCAGCTGTGGTGGTTTGAGTGAGAATATCCCCCATAGGCTCCAATGTTCAAATACTTGGTCCCCAGCTGCTGGCATTGTATGAATAGGTTTAGGAAGTGTGGCCTTGCTACAGGGAGCATGTCACTGCTGGGAGGCTTTGAAGTTTCAAAGCCACATGCCATCCCCAGTTCACTCTCTCTCTCTGTTTCCTGCTACTTATAGTTGGAGATGGGAGTTCTTAGTTGTTCCTGCTACCATGTCTGCTATCTGCTACCACAATTCTCTGCCATGATGTCCTCTTATTCCTCATTAAGTATAAGCCCAAATAATCCCTCCCTTCTAGAAGTTGCTTTGGTTATGATGTTTTTATCACAGCAATAGAAACACACCAACTATAGCCTTTCTTCTATAGAGAAGAGATGAACATCGTTATCTGCAAATCACAGTGCATGGTCACTGTGTCTCTTCACTGCAACAGGAGGAAAAAGCAAACACAGGTGCTCACCACTGGTTTAAGGTGCTGGGAAGACACATTGGTCCTGGAGCTCTGGGCAGAGAGAGGGCTGCAGATTCTTCCAGTGGATGCCAATTCCTAAAACAACACATAAAACACCAGGAGTAAACCACACGAGGCCTTACCCCAGGAGGCTCATGTCAACCCAACTCATCTCAACAGGCACCCCACGCAGATCCAAAGCCCCCATGCTTCTCATCCAGAATAAATCTCTGGCTCAGCCCCATTTCCCATAATAGACAGATAATCTTCAGTTCACACATGGAAATGGCTCCCACAACAGTGACAGGATCTCGACACAAGGATCCTCCAGAGATCATCTGCAACAGGGTCACAAGCTGAAAGCAAGGGGCCATTTAACCTGCAGAGGCACAACACGGCACCTGCTACTAGGAGCCTGAAGTTAAAACAAACTCAGGAATGTCACATAAAAGCTCAGACCTCTTACTTAGGCCTGTAAGGTGGCTCAGTGGACAGAAGTCCCCGACACACAAGCCTGAGAAACTATGTTCCATCCCCAGAACCCACCATGGAAGGGCAGAACTCACTCAAAAGTTGTTCTCTGGTCTCCATGTCTGTACACTCAGACACACATGCACACACACAACAGTAATAACTTAAGAGGATGATGCTGCTGACAATGACTGTGGTGAATCTCACACTTTTGGCCTCTCTTTCAAAGCCAAACAGATCAGAAGAACACAGCCGGCATTCCTGTCAGACAGTGCTGATCTGCTAGTAAACAGCAGCCACCCCTCACAAGCAAGCTTGCCTGCTCTGAATACCAACCCCATCAGTCTGTGTTTTCTCTACACCGAGAACTGCCACTTTCAACCCCCTCCTCCTCCATTTACCTCTGCTTCTGTAGAGAACCTGGATCAATTCCCAGCACCCACACAACCACTTACAACCATCTGTAACTCCAGTTTCAGGGGATCAGAGGCCCTCATCTGAACTCAAGGCACACTGCATACATGTGGCGCACATATACACATGCAGGTAAACACTCAGAAACATAAAATGTTAAAGAGAAAAACCCAAGGGCTGGCGATGTGGAGCACTTGCCTGGCATGTGCAGAGCCTTGGGTTCTAGCTCCAGCAGATTCTCAAAAACAAGACAAAAAAACAAAAGAGAAGACTATGTACACGATTATGTATAGACACCAGCATTGTAACGGCAGCATTAGCAGTATTCAGCTTAAGATGGTAAGAGTTATTTATGTCATTCTCTCAAAGAATATATCGATTTGCTCACTGAGCTCTCTTTCATACCACACAGCAGGAGGTGACAGAGATACAAAGTCAGCACAGCCCTTTAGTTGTTCTGAGAAAAAGGCAGGTCTGGACACTCTAAACAGGCAAGCTGAGGAGATACAAGAGCACTGAACAGAGCACCTAGTCAGCAGAGGCCCCTAGCACAGACAGAGGACTGAGCAAACCCCCAAGCTTGGGTGGGAGAGGAACAGAAAAGGTGCAGATCCCAGCCCATGGGATGAAGAAGGCAAAAGCAAGGACATTTGAACAGCCATCTATTTTAGCTTTGTCCAGGTCTCTTGTTACTTGTAGGTCTTAAACAACAGCAGGCATGCACTCACACATGCAGACACACAGACACACAGACACACAGACACAGACACACACACACACACACACACACACACAGAAAAGCAAACAAAAACCCAACCCTTGCCTTACATAATTAACTCACCATGCATAAGGAGTATACCTCATGTGCACTCTCATCTATACATGTCACCAAATGTCCACATCAAGAATACCATCAACTCAGCCCTGCCCCCTAGCAACGTCTATTCAGGAGCTCCTAAGTGACAACTTGTATTTCTCAGAGTCTGGAAGGCCTCGGCAACACTGTGGCAGAAACCTTTAGGGAGGTCTCTCAGAAGAAAAAGAAATAAGAGGTTTTCTTCATATCAATTATAAGATTAAGAAACCTATCCCCACTCCAAGGCCCTGAATATCCAGAAACTATTGGCCTTAAGCAGGTATGTTCACAGGAAAAAAAAAAAATCTCAGAATACCTGTCCATCCAAATCTCCAAATGAGCTTTCTCATTTGTCAGAAAGAGATGAGCTACCAGCCTGGGCTAAGGCACCAAGCGCAGTTCAAACACCAGTCTTTGAGTTCAGAATCCCAGAACCCATATGTAAAAAGCCCAGCCTGGCAGCCAGCACTGGAGGAGGTGAGATTGGGGGCAGGAGGTGCAGACAGGAAGATTCCTTTGAATTAATTGGCCAGGGAGGCTATCTGAATTGATTAGCTCTAGGTTCAGGGAGAGATTCTGTATCAAAAGCTAAGTGGGAGAATGATTTAAGAGGACAGCCAATGTTGATCTCTGGCTGGCTTTCACATGCAAGCACACACACAAGCACAGACAGACAGACAGACAGACAGACAGACAGACAGACAGACAGACAGACAGAGACAGAGGCAGACACACACACACACACACACACACTGGGTGAGGGGCAGGCATGGGAAGGGGCTTAGAGAGTTAGAGTGAAGGCAAAATGTGAGGTGAAGACTTAGGTTGAGGTGGGAACAGATGCTGTTAAGAGCAGTGTAAGGACACAAGGCACAGTCCCCCTGAATGGTGGACGGAACTTCACTAGAACCACAAAGGTTTGGCAGGTTACTGTATCTGGCTGAAGAGCTAAAAAGACTATAATAAAAATAATCTTATTTTTGGTTTGGCAGCACAAAACCCTCCCACAGGCAATTCTGGCACGCAGTAAGGGATGGGTGTACTTTACCAGGAGTGCAGAAGCTCCAGAACAGTCTCTTCAAGGTCAGTAATTTAGCATCTTCCAGAAAAGCACCAAGAGTTCTGCTTGGAGATTTACTCATTCTCAGTATGCCCATCTAATCTCTATTCTATCATGACACCCATTTGCTTAACCCCATTAAGTAGATGACAGAATGCAGGCAGCAAGAATGGCAACCGGGTAAATGAGGCCGGCCTCTCTCTTTTTAGTGGCATATGCTCAGTCCACATGTTTCCAGATGAAACTTGGGCAGCCTAGTCCCGGCAGCAGATCTGCATCTCTGCATACCAGTGCAGCTACCCCTTCCAGCTAGACAAAGCATCTGCACCTCTCCAGCCATCAAATGGCCTTCGAGGAACTGATTCAGGACATAAGCATTCTGACTACGTCCCTCCTGCCCATCAAAGGGCAAGCACTGCAGATGAGTGCAACGTGTGGAAATCTGCCAAGCCAGCTGAGCACTTCTCAGTGCAGATTTCCACTTTGTGGTCATGTAATGGCTTGAGCCATCCCAAGCCAAAAATGGCAAAGTAAATGTATATGCCACAAAGATGACAGATTGGAGCAAGCAGCTTCCCTGAATGGACCAGCCTGCCGAGATCTCTTCCTGACATCACCAGGTGCTAGCAGGTGACCTTCAGAAAGCCAACATCAGAGAAATCCATGGCTCGTCAAGGTCAGCCTTCTTGAACGAGAGGTCAAGCAATGAGCCTCACTATCCCCCAACAAAACAAGGAGACACTCCTAGAACCCCACTTCAACCTAAGTGTCCTCCACTTGAGTCAGAAATCAAGTTTAGAAGGGTGTAGGGTGGCAGGTAGTTTAGGGAAAGCAAGGGAACTTTCCCCTCTTCTGGTAGCCCTCAATTTTAAATGATTCATTCATTTCCCTACAGTCCTAACATACCCTGGCCTAAAACAAGACACTTTCTAGTCCAGTGCTTGAAAAGACATGGCAGTTTTTGTTTCAGGCCCTGTCAGACACCTCGGGGCCTCTCCTCCCTCATCTGTATCCCCTTCTCTACTCTATCCCAAGACCACAGTACCAGCTGCTGTAAAGCCATCTCAGCTATCTTCATTCCTAACAAACATCAGCCCACCAGCCAACTCATCCCAGCCGACAGGAGCCTTCATGCCCAGGGTCCTCAGAAGCCTAAGCACATCTGCTTCACAATACAGATAACTTCTATTTTTACATAGCATTTCCCCAACCCCTAGATGGACAAGGATTCATATAATTCTGCTTCACCTTCTTATTGGTGCTGTTTGATGTTTTCAAGTTTCAAGTTTGACTGCAGGTCAAATCCCAATACAGTACCTAAAAACTCTGGTTTCTGTCAAAATATACCCCAAACTTCATGCCACCCGGCCAGACTTGGCTGCTGTCTCTTTGTTCTTAATACAAGGCTAGAGTTGCTTCCCGAGCTCATGGCAGACTTCTCTCCTACCAGCAACAAACCGGGAGTCCAAGAGAGAAAATCTGCTACCAGCCTTAAGGCCAACCAACTTGGGAAGGACACAAACTGTGTACTTCACCCTCCCAGTTTGTCTTCATTTCACGCTGCATTGGCTATTCTATTTAAGATCACTTTACAGCTTCAAAAGTTAACCCCTCTGTAACCTTGAAAAGGATTGCCTGGGATCACAGGGGCTGTCACCAGTGCCAACACTCTCAGGGACAGAATTCCCCTAAAGCTTTCACAGGCTCCATGCTAGTGTGGCTCTCTCCACACTCCGGTCCCGGTGCCAGCCCATCCTCTCCCTCCTTCCGCACCCATAGGCAGAGGAAGTAGGTCTTTGGGAGCTTTTTAAAACTCTCCCACCTACTTCAAAAATTTGGTAGGAGGAGGAATGAATGTTTTCAAGTTCTCTGAATGATACAACACTCATAAAGTACAACAGAATTAGCTGGAAACTAGCAAAAAAAAATAAATTTATCTTCCATTTAAAAAAATTTATAAAGGTACGCCTACTTTAAATGATTCAGAGTGACTTTATGCTGTTTCTTCTACTTGAATATGCTTTTGTTTCCCCAAAGCTGACGTTTCCCTCCCTGCTCCCCATGCTAAGATGGTATGTGCAGACTCAGGCTTCCTTCCACAGATACCTATTCTGTCTGATTTGGGGCTCTTGAAAACATTTCGGCAAAGCCAAGCACACTCTATAAATGGCCAGAGCCTACCCCCTCAAGACACTGTAATGTTATTTGCATTTACTATTTCTCCTGTGTTAAAAATAAAATAAATAACAAGCTCTTTCCCTATCTCTTGCCAAGGATGGGGCATTCTCAGCATTG